TGCACTCACCAGTCTTGACTGACTTTGGTGTCAATCTTTCATGAACTGGGTTGCGTCGGATTGAAAATAATACTTGGCGTGGTCAGCTCAGCACAGCCCAGAGTGGGATCTTTATTCAGACGCCTCGGCATTAGTCTTTTGACATTGTTTACTGGTAAGGTATTTGTAGACAACTAAGACCTGTGGCTTTCCAACCTAACTTCAGAACTGTGAATGTATCCCAGTGACATTTAATCCGGTTAACTTGGCTCCAAGAGGTGTTTAGATTGCTCTGAATTCTGATTCTCTTATCTAATACCCTAGTTCTACCTCTTAGCTTGTGACCTCTACATTTAAAAAGCATGTTTTAATTTTGCTCAAAGTATATTATAAAGTCAAAAGATAAGTTACAAACATTTTTACCAGGTGGTTGTGTTTTATTTAAAATTATTTATATCTAAAAAGATTATGGAAAGCTATATATACATCAAAATGTTAACAGTTCTTCTTTATGAATGATTGAATAATTTATAAATTTTCTGGGCTTTTGCTTATATATTTTCATGATTTTAAGTGCATGTATGATTACATGACAAAACACCAAACAAACAATTTTTGTTGTTTGAAAACATCTCATTGAACTATACATACGATGAATGAATTTCAAGGTATGCAAATTATACCCCAGTAAAGAAGTCTTTTGTAATTTATAAGAAAAAGAGAGGCGTCTGTATTCCATTCCCCACTTAATGTAATGAGAGTGGCCTTTTCTAGAGTCCTCTCTCAGCAGCCTGGGCATGAGAGGTTTACTGAAGCTCTGAGTTAATTTATCTTTCAGGTGAGTGCGATGCTCTCCCTCTCGTTCCCTTTCCTATCCTCCACTCTCACTGACCAAGAGTGCCTGTGCTTCCTTTTTTTCAAAAACTTATATCCTGGGCTGGGGCTATAGCTCAGTTTGTAGAGCAGCACTTGCCTCAGATGCACAAGGCCCCAGGTTCAATCTGCAACACACACACAAAAAAAAAAAAAATTAATTATCCTTCCTGTTTTTCCATCAGAGTAGCTGATGGATAAACGATAAACAATAAACGGTCCCATAAGACCTTATGAACAAAGAGGCTGAGCCCCCAGAGTGCGTTAAATGAAGGCCTTAGCGTGTGCAGGCTTCTCTAACATTGACCTTTTCAAAAGTGTCCCTGCCCAGGCCTCTGATTCAGTCCTTCTGGAATGGGGCTTGGAGCCGACCCACCCCTCCTGCTCCCCGGCCTACCC